GTGTGTAGATTAGTTTGGTATGAGATTGAGTGGGATGCTGGGTGAGTGGTTGAGAAGATAGGTGGGCAAGTTAATGAGTGAGTGGGTGGGTGAGCGGAGGGTTGAGTGACGGGTTGGGTGAGTGAGTGAATGGGTGAGTGATGGCTGGGTGGGTAATTTAACATTGGAAGTTGAGTGGGTAAGTTAGCGTGTAAGTGAGTGGATGGTTGAGTCAGAGAGTGAGGCGCCAAGGTGGTGAGATGTTCACTATTTTGCCTAGTATACAGGAGGTGGTGGATTCGATCCCGACCCTGTCGCCTGTATATTTGGAGTTTGTAAGTTCTCACCCGTGGTCGCCTGGATTTTGTTCTAGATCCTCAGGGTTTTCCCTCTGCATTTAGAAGCAACATGCGTTTAGAGGATTTGGCTGCAATAAATGTATCTGTGATAAGCCACTCGTATATCTATCATTTGTAGCCAGGTCTGTTCTGAAAAGGATCTATATAGCTCAATGGGCCTTGCCTGGTGAAATAAAAAGTAAATTTCGGTTTAAAGCTTTCATGACTGCAAGGATTCATCTTCTTGGTGCTTTCGGTAAAGTCACGTAGAATGGGAATAAAATAATAAAATAAAATAAGACAATAAAATTCTCACGACGTTTTGGCCACAACACAAGTGGCCTTCTTCAAGTGAAGAGACAGGTCTGTCCGGAAGACAGAGCTTGAATGAACGCTGACATGCAAGGACCGCGTCTATTAAGCTGTGTGGGCGGAGTTAAAATATGAATTTGCATGTTACCAGCATCACCTCCGGAGAGGAGGAGGGAGGGGGCTGGGAACACAGGCAGAGAGGAAACAAGAAAAGGGGCAAGTGCAACAGCCAAGGTGCGCTGTTGTGTCCTGAGTTGCCTTATGACTATGCTGTAAACTGGACTACTATATAATACAATATTATACCTTCCAATCTAAACTACATGGTATAACATCATATCATAGACAGATTCCACTTTTGAATTATACAATGCGTTACTTTACACTACCCTATACTTTAGATTATAAACTATTAGACTTGTGATATTACACTATGTCTTATTCTATGAACCCAACTATATACCACACTGATGTATATTCATTATGCAATTACGATGCTATATATTGCCTTATGAGTTATGTTAAACATTACAATGTTATACTATTGATTATTATACTACATGTTGTAAACCATACCATTGACCGTGGTGTGAGAAGTATTAAGAGGCAGTGCCAGTGAAAGGGCTGCGGTCTGAAAATCACCATAAAATACAATCAATTAAGAACCGAAATGGTTTAAAACATCTTTCCAATGGTTACTAAGCCAGAATCCATCTTCTAGGTTGAAATTGTCTCTGTGCTTGTATATGTGGATGGCCTCATGAACGAATCTCTCATGGTAGCCGGTTGGCTTGCAAAGAACCTCCGTCTTGGAGAAGTCAATGTCATGTTAGCCCACTGAATTATAACAGTGATCTGCCACGGCAGAGGAGTTCGTCCTACCGTGTTTCAAGTCTGCTTTATGTTCGCGGATGGGGTCCGATATATGTCGTATGGTTTCTCCAATGTAGCTGCTACCACAGTTGCACTTTAGTTTGTAAACGCCCGGGTACTGTATGTCTGGAACCACATCCTTTACAGATGGAACCAGATCACGGATTTTTTTTGTACTGTGTTGAATCGGACCTGGATCTTGTGTTTATTCAGGATTTTGGAGATATTTTTGTGACCCCCGCAATGTACAGTGAGGGAAAAAAAGTATTTGATCCTCTGCTGATTTTGTACGTTTGCCCACTGACAAAGAAATGATCAGTCTATAATTTTAATGGTCGCTTTATTTGTGGTGAAGGTTGTTTTGAAAACGAGCTATGTAGCTCATTGGGCCTCACCTGGTAAAATAAACATAATTTAGTGTGTAGGTGAGTGAGCGGTGTGTGAGTGAGTGCATACGTGTGTAGGTGAGTGGGCGGTGGGTGAGTGAGATATTGGGTTAGATATATAGTAGTGGGTGGCTTGCTGAGTGGGTGAGTGGCTCGGTGGTTAAGTTAGTGGGTGGTTGAGGTAGTGGGTGGTTTAATTAATAGGTGATTTAGTTTGTGAGTGGTTGGATTATTGGGTGGTTGACTGATGGGTGGGTGAATAATTCCGTGGTAATGGGTGAGTAGATGAGTGGGCGGGTGGTTGGGTGAGTGGGGGATTAGAAATTGAGTGGATTGCAGGGTAAGTGGATGTGTAAGTGGGGTGGGTAAGTAGGTGAGTGGCTGAGGGAGTGGGCAGCTGGTTGGGTGAGTGGGTGGGTTAGAAATTGAGTGGGTGGCAGGGTCAGTTGATGTGTAAGTACTGGGTGAGAAGGTGAGTGGCTCATTGAGTAAGTGAGTGGATGGGCGAGTAGGTGAGTGGATGGATGAGGGAGTGAGTGGGTGAGTGAATTAGTGGGTGGGTGAGTGGATGTTTGGGTGGGTGGATGAGTGAGTGAGTGTGTGGGTGAGTGAGTGAGTGTGTGGGTAGGTGGTTAGGTGGTTAGTGTGTGGGTTAGAAGTTGAGTGGGTTAGTACCTGAGTGAGTGATTCGGCGGGTGGGTTGGTGAGTTCGTTGTTGGATGAGTGGGTGAGTATTAGTGGGTAGGTATGTAGGTGAGTGATTGACTGTGTGGGTGGGTGAGTGAGTGAAGAGATGGGTAGGTGGGTTGGTTTGTGGGTGCGTGAGTGCATAAATGGGTAGGTGAGTGAGTTAGTGGGTATGAGATTGCGTGGGTGGCTGGGTGAGTGGTTGATAATTAATTTTGATGAGTTAGTGGGTGGGTGAGTCGGTGAGTGAGTGGTTGGGTTAGCATATGGGTAAGTGAGCAAGTGGTTGGGTGAGTGTGTGGGGTAGTGGGTGATTGAATAAGTGGGTGAGTGAGGGGCTGGGTGGTTGGCTTGGGTAGTGAGATTGTGGGTGGGTAAGTGAGTGGGTGAATGGGTGTATTGGTCGGTGAGTGTGTGAGTAAGTTAGTCGGCACGTGATTGAGCGGGTGGCTGGCTGAGTGCGGGAGAAGATGGGTGGGTGAGTTAGTGGGTAGGTGAGTTGGTGCGTGGTTGGGTGAGTGAGGGGGTGGTTGGGTGAATGGGGGAGTGACTGGTGGGTGGGTAAGTTAATGTGGGAGGTTGAGTGGGTGAGTTAGTGTGTAATTGGGTGAGTGGGTCAGAGAGAGGGGTGCCACTATGGTGAGAGATTAACTACCTCACTGAGTATACAGGAAATCGTGTATTCGATTCTGACCCTGCTGCCTGTATATTATGAGGTTTAATGTTTTGCCTGTGGCCTCGTGGATTTTTCTCCGGGTCCTCCAGATTTATCCCTCCGCATTTAGAGTCAAGATTTGTTTAGAAGATTTGGCTGCACTAAATGTCAGCGTGATCAGCCACTTCGTTCACGTATCAGTTGTAACCAGATCACTTCTAAAATGTTTTATATAGCTCTGTGGGGCTTACCTGGTAAAATACAAAATAGTTTAGTTGTAGTTTATTGGATGGGTGATTGGGTAGGTGGGTAGTTCGGTGCGTGGGTGGGTTAGAGGTTGAGAAGGTGGCAGGATGAGTGGGTGGGTGAGTAGATAAGTGGCTGGTGAGCAGGTGGGTGAGTGAGTGCATGAGTTATAGATTAAGTGGGTGGATGGGTCAGTGTGTGATTTGGGGCATGAATAGGTGAGTGGGTGGGTTAGTGGAGTGTTGAGTGAGTGGGTCGTTGAGGTAGTGAGTGGGGGGTATGCAGGTGGGTTCGTAGGTAAGTGGTTAAGTGAGTGGCTGGGTGTGTTGATGAGTGAGTGGGTTTCGCGATTGAGTGGGTGCCAGGGTGATTGGGTTCATGAGTGCTTGGCTGGGTGTTTGAGTGGGTGGGTGGGAGGCTGAGTCAGAGTGGAGCGCCAGGGTAGCGGAATGTTAACTCCCTCGCCATTTGTATAGGACATCGTGGGTTCGATCCCGATCGTGACGCCTGTATATTTGGAGTTTGCATGTTCTCCCTGTGGTTGCATGGATTTTTCTCTGGGACCTCCGAGTTTTTCATGCATATTTAGAAATATACATTTAGAGGCTTTGGCTGCTATAAATGTCCACGTGATAAGCCACTTCTTTGAGCTATCATTTGTTTGCCACGTCGTTTCCGACAAGGATCTGTATAGCTCAGTGGGCCTTACCTGGTGAATTTTAAATAATTCAATTGTAGTTGAACTATTTTAAGTGAATAGGTGGATGAGTGGGTCGGTGGGTTGGTGAGTGGCTGGTTTAGTAAGTGAGAGGTTGGATGAGTGGGTGGGTGGTTGAGTTGTTGGTTTAGAAATTTAGTATGTGGCAGGGTGAGTGCGTGGGTGGGTGGTTGAGTTGTTGGTTTAGAGATTCAGTACGTGGCAGGGTGAGTCAGTGGGTGGGTGGCTTTACGAGTGGGTGGGTGGGTGGATAAGTCAGAGAATGGGGCGCCATGGTGGCTAGGAGATGTTAACTACCTCGCCTGGTATATTGAACTTCGTAGGTTCGATCCCGACCTTGACGCCTGCTGTATATTTGAAGTTTGCATGTTTTCCCCGTGGTCGTGCAGGTTTTTCTCCAGTTTCTCCAGTTTTACCCTGCACATTTAGAAACATGAGTATTTTGAGCATTTGGCTGCTATAAATTTCCATGTGATAAGCCACTTCGTTAGGCTATCATTTGTGGCCAGGTCGGTTCTGAAAAATAGCTCTGGTAAAATAAAAAATGGTTTCATTTATAGTCTACATAGGATTGACTTCCCAGGAAGTAACACTCATTGTATAAACCCCAGAAGAATATTGTTTTGAGTCACCCAAACCAGAATGTGAACTGATATATTCGTATTTTCAAGCGAGGTTCTCGGCCACAGACCACCTGGACAAATATGATGTAGTTTAGTTTGCATATGAATTATTACTTGGGGTTTGTTGACATGATAAAGTTAATGTTTTCTTTGACAGGTCTATTGTGTTGTACACTCTGACAGGGGCTCAGGCTTGTTGGGGCAGCATCTGGCTGAAATGCACCTTCACAACAGGAAGATTGGAGAGAGGCTTCACAAGGAAGAGAAAACTATCGGTATTGAATCATGAAAATGTAAAACATGTGGAAAACTAGGCCCACCGATCCAACCCTAGCATCATGTCAACTATGTATTATGTTGACATTCCTTCGCACTGAGAGTAGGCATGCTAATCGGATCTAATGAATATGTGTAAACAGGCGATGTGTGTGTAAACAAACACACATTTCATACAGCTGTTTATTAATCGTAAAAATCAAGCGATTGAGCTAGTGAATGAGATAGACACATGCTGTCATTATTTCATACATGAACACAACCAGCCAGCCAGCGGTCATGATTTTCCACACCTAATCACATTCATCTCTTTGTTTTAGCCATCTTTGTGATGAAGGGAACTGTATTGTTCATGTGTGTGCAATGTACTTTTCAGAATATGAATTATGTTGGGTAATATATGAATTATGGCTATTAAAAGTATCTGTATTTAAGTCCATCAGGGCAAACTCTTCTGCAAAGGAGACTTAGAGCATTCAACATTGCGTCCCTTTATATTTTTGCTAATCGCATTATTTTTCGATTTAAAGCTTTCGTGACTGCAGGGATTCATATTCTTGGTTCTTTCGGTAAAGTCACGTGGAAGGGAAATAATAAAATAATACAAATAAAACATAATATAATAAAATTTTCACGACGTTTCGGCCACAACGCAAGCAGACGTCCTCAGATGAAGAAACAGAGCTGTCGGAAAGACAGCGTCTTAATGAACACTGGGCAGTGAACACTGGGCAGTGTTCATTAAGACGCTGTCTTTCCGACAGCTCTGTTTCTTCACCTGAGGACGGCTGCTTGCGTTGTGGCCGAAACTTCGTGAGAATTTTATTATATTATGTTTTATTTGTATTATTTCCCTTCTACGTGACTTTGCCGAAAGAACCAAGAATATAATCGCAATATGTTCAGGAGATAAATGTCAAGGTCTGCTAGCCAAAAGAAGGCTTTAGGAGAGAGTTCATGTAGTTTTGCTATTCATTCATTAAAGGGCAATAGAGTAAATGCTAAAATAAATGTTTCAGCTAATTTTTTTATATACGCTAGATTTACAAGTCTATAATGTACAGAAAATACCATGGTTGGCCAGACCATCGCTCGGCATCTGCATGTGGCTCCTGGGCAGTTCAAGTGTGGCTCTGCAGAGGCGCTGCTAATTTGTAACTCTTCAATTTAACTTTATATGAAGTGAGAACAATCTGGTATCGGAGGCAGGCCATGAGTACTCCCAGGGCACTGAGATTTCTAAACTCAAAATTCCACAGCCAGTCGACACGAGTCAACTTCTGTATGGCTAATCTTTATCTCTTGTGGCTCCCGCGGCCATCTGAAGATTATGGTATGCTGCTGGTAGGGTCAGGAAAGTTGGTCACCCTTGGTATATGCGTTGATGATTTTGTGCAATGTTCAGCTGCTCCGTCACGACAGGGGTCCCAGTCAGTTTGAGACTGCTAAATTAAGGTTCTCATGTGCTTTACAGATTTTGATAAAAAATTTCAGTCTTGAATTTCTCCCAACAGGTATGGACCCTGGGCAGGAGGATGTAGAGTATGTGGGATTCGTATGGCTATATGCTGTGGTTACATCCCACATGTGATCTCCGCTTTAAAGTCATGAAACTGGTTGTAGCCCATTTAAATTTTAATATACCCGTTTAACACGTAGGCTTTCGCGGCCAATATCATCCATAATATCGTTTTTTTTTGGGTTAGATCGTTGAAATATAAATTTGTCGTTAAACCCGCCACCACCGACACAGCCAATTCGTAAGGTTTGTCACATAAACAGAACATTCCAATTCGTGAAGGGCTCACAAGTGACGTCATCACATCTATCCCTCCAAGGAATGAAACAGGAGGATTTCTCTACGAATTTGGCTGTCCACCTAATGATGATAGTTGTAATTACTGGCGAAACGTCATACTCAGATTGTAAATGTTGTGGATTTTCTCTCCAACACTTCGGTTTGCTGTACTAGTAGCGGATTGGCATGTTCCGTTTACGTGACAACCTTACTAATTGGCTGTTAGGTGGTGGTAGGTTTAACGGCTCATTTATTTTTATGCGATCTAACCCAGAAAAAACTATATTATAGATTTAATATACCCTTTTGTTGAAGGACAGCCTGGGTGACCAAAGTTTTATAGGAACGGCAATAATGTTTACTTGATTAAATTAGTTTTATCATGGAGCGGTGAAATCAGCTGTTGTTCAGATGTCAGTCTAATTAGTATTACATCGTAGAAATATGAGAGTCCTTTGTGTAATAGTCTATTAACCACTGATGATGGTAACATTGGTTTAAGGTTACATTTTAAGAAGAACTAGATTGGCGTACATTTTATCTTGCATAAGTACACAAATTTATAAAACAATATATTTGATTAAAAAATGCATATATTTTCTTCCATTGCACACAGTTGTACCATTGATAACAGGGCACACAGTTACAACTGACATCACCAGATGTCACTGAAGTTCCCTCAGAGATCGATCTTGCATAACCAGTGTTCACGTAATCAGTTATGTTTTCGCTAATTACCAATTACACTCAGCCGGGTTTGACAGACTTGTATGAATGTATGTTGAACTTCCTTTCCACCGTACATAGCCAACCGTGCTAAACGGAGGTGTGGGAATTAAGCGCAGAACCTATCGTTAGGATCAATGCTGTTGTAATTTTTTATGAGGATATCAATTGGTGGCTGAAATGAGATGTTCAAAGACTACAGCATGATAATCGGTACATAACATGAGTGTCGAATTATGTCTTAAGAATTACCCAGCCATTTGTACGTAAAATTCAACGTTTCTGGGTGACATCTTAAGTCCGTGTTCTTCATTGCAAGGCCCGCGGGCCGGTGGCAGTCCCTGGTGTCCTTTTTACTGCGACCCCTGACGTGCAGTCCCCGACAATACACACAAGTGAAAACACCCCATCATGCTGTCAAACCCCCCAATGGTTTCAAATGTGAGATGGCTCTTTCACTGATAATGTCTTATTCGCGAAAGTGGCCCCCCTCCGAAAATGAGTGAATATCACTGTTTTAGGTCAAGGATTGGCCAAATAAAGTAGGTATTATTTGCTTATGTTTTTAAATGTCCGTAATAAAACTATATTTATGCCACCAGCTGAATGAGTGGCAGGAGGACTGGGTGACGTTCTTCTCACGGCAGCGACTGCAGCTTCAGCTGGACATGATAGAGAAGGACTACGGTGAACGGGAAACCCGCGAGCTCTGGTCTCGGCTTCAGGTTCGTAAGCTGTTTCACTCTCGCCCTTAATCCTTTCCCGTTCCGAGACGACTGCTCATTTCAGGATGGGTCTCGTTCACCACCGAATCTCGGAACGCGCAAGCGGTTCAGCGGTAATTTTATTTAGAGAGGCATAGCGCCGTTGTTTTTAAAGACATTGTACTCGCCGCAGAGCACCGTAGCGACAGGACAGCACTCTATTATAGCTGGTACCAAACTGTGCTACACACCTTCCCGCACGGCCTTGTGGGATCCTCGGTACCGATAAAGTTATTTAATATTTACTTCCTATTACGTTCCGATGACGTACACGAGATTCAGCGGTGAACGGGATGCACCCCGCAACTTGCAGTCATCTCGGAGCAGGAAAGAGTTAATACATGCAGCAGTGTAGCTCATCATGTGCACAGCCATATGGGAAACCCATTTGATCGCAGTGGGTTTTCGAGGTGACTTTAAAGGTAAAGTGGTGTTTCACACGCAGGCTTTCGCGACCAATATTATTCATGATAAAGTTTTTTTTGGCTTAGATCGCGTAAGTGTAAATGCGTCGTACACCCACATCCACCCAACACAGCCCATTAGTAATGTTTCTGACATGAACAGAACGTGCCATTTATGTTATTGCTCGGCACTCTGGTGTGTTAGAGAGGAAACGCAGAACATTTTCAAACGAGTACGACCTTTCGCTGGTGATTACAACCAGCATCATCAAGCAATTGCCAGAAGCGTTCTGACTTCTGGCAATTGCCTAATGGCAATTGGAGTGGGTGTACGACGCATGTAAATTTATGCGATCTAACTCTAAAAAAACGTTATCATGAATAAAGTGGTGTTGTTTTTTGCGTGGTGTGCAGCTTCGGTTGGGGGAATTTTTTCCGGGACGTAGAGGTGGTTCCGGCACTGCTCCACGGTGACCTATGGACTGGGAACGCTGCAGAGATTAATGAAGGGCCCGTCATCTTTGACCCAGCCTCCTTCTATGGGCACTCGGAGTACGAGCTTGCCATCGCTGGGTAAGAAAAAACTACAAACAACCAAAACAATAGCAGCAACTGCCGTTCACTGCCCTGTCTGTGGCATGCAAGGTTCATTCGTATAACCTCAGTGTGGCAAGGGCTGGCTCATTAAATAAATAACAGAGACCAGGTAGAGTTGTGGTTGAGATGTCTACATGCTGAGGTCTCCACCCTCTCTATTTGCTAACTTACAAAGACTCATCCTTCCTTGCTAAGGCTTTTTGGGCAAATCCTGTTAAAGCTGATACGGTGCACAAAACAATAGTGGAACGATAAAACTCTTACTTATCCACGGCACTTGAGGATGCTTGAATGTTCCAGAAACACAGTTTGTCGAACAAGGAACCCCTGGTTCAGAGACAAGTTGCCACTGATGTGCTTTACCAGAAATCCAAGCTGAAGATAATTCATTACACGTCAAATGGAATTCAAACCCTCAGAGCTGGGATATGCTTCAGTGAACAAAAACACATTTGACATTATGTTTACTGAGCAGCCATTGGTGACCAAGTTGAGACCACAGCATTCCTGCCCTCAATTCGCAGGAACGTTTGTTGATAGATGGCTCACTGAATTTTGAACGGAGGACCTCAATAGCATTGGCTCGGTGCTCTGACATTGAAATTAACCTCGAGCCACTCAATTTCCTGCATTACGTTGAATTTGTGAAAATGTTGTTCATTGTTATGTTGTTCGTGCTGGAACAGCAGCATTGTAAGATTTTGAATGTTTGGTGTTGTTTGGGTACAGGATGTTCCAGGAGCTTTAGCTCCACGCTTCACTCATCCTACCACGCTCTCATCCCAAAGTCACAAGGCTTCGGCAAGAGCCAGAAGCTCTAGCAACTCTTCCACTACCTGAACCACTGGAATCACTTTGGGACAGGATACCGAGGGTCATCCATCTCCACCATGCGCAGTCTCCTTAAGTGAATGAACGGTGCAGGAAATCGTGGGCTATGGTGTATGACTATAAAAATTCTTATCGGCCATGATATACATGATATACATTGTTGAATAAAGGCCTTCCCTAAGCCACCACTAAATCTCACGAAACTAGTCCATTTAAATGCTGTGCAATGCCCTAGGCATTCCACGTGAGTGTGACCGGTGGTCCCTTTGTTCCACATCCTGGCCGTGATCTCCACGCGAAAACTGGGTCAGTTAATGTCCGAATCAGAATCTTTAATTAGGCTGGACGAATCTGATGAGCTATGAAGCTCTTTTTTCACAGATGTCCAGTCGGGGCGAGTCAGAAAGTTACAACAACAAACAACAATACAAACAGATGGGAGGGCAAAGTAAAGGAACGCGAAGCAAATTTTGACTTAACTTTCGTGACTGCAGGAATTTATATTCTTGGTTCTTTCGGTAAAGTCACGTAAATAGAAAACAAAAAACAATAAAATAAAGACCGCTTGTGTTGCGATTGAAACTTCCTGGGTTTTTTGCTTTTATTTTAAATTTATTTTTAATTTGTTATTTTTTAAATTGAATTTTTTTATTTAATTTGAATTTTATTTCTTGTTTTCTATTTACGTGACTTTACCGAAAGAACCAAGAATATGAACGCTAAGCAAGTCATGAAATAAAAATATATAAGAGTTCAAATTGCATTAGTGCATCAATTCCTGCCAAATTTTTTTATCACCAAATGCCATTTTGGGCAAGGCAGCATAACAAAAACAATCCCAGATGTTTGGCTAGTACCAGTTACAGTGTATGTGTTTGTTGTTGTTTTGCTATGGGAGTAAACCCTTGCAGAGAAAGGGACCAGAATTAGGAAAGCTGAAACCAGGCACTCCTTCAGAAGATGCCATGCACGGGCGTGACCACTGCACCACCCTGACGCCCAAACAAATGTAATTCAAATAATCTACAATACTGGCAAATAAACCCTATTAGTATCAACCGAATGTCTGGACAATCTGACCCCCTCTACACAAGTAACAGTTGAGAGTCAACGCTGTGATGTTGTGCGATTGGTGCAAGCGGGGTGAGGTCAAGGTCGATGACTGCTTCCAGCGGTGTCAAGATGAGCATTTTGAAGAGGCTCGCGAAGGATGATACTTGGCAGTTGGGTGCAGTCTCCCTCCATTAACAACAGAGGGCAGAGGAGCGACGCTCACAACAATTGACTGAGCACTGGGCGTATACAACGCATGAAGTCGGCAGCAAGTTTATCTCAGGGAGTTGACCCGCACACGACAACTGGGTCTGTCCCGCGTGTTCACGCTATAACGCGGTTGCCTTCATTTAGGGAACGCGCACCGCCATAAGGCGACTTGTGAGCGGTCGACGCCGAACTACTTTCTTGAGCTGCGCGGTTGAGCGAGACGAGACGGTAACGCGGCGGCGTCCCCTCAAGTTGTTTGTAACCCAATTCTGACTGCGCTTGGACATTCATTACGGGGGAAATAGTTTTCGCTTAACGCGGCACTTTTCAGGAACGCATCTACTGCGTTAAACGAGGACTCGCCGTACAGGTGCTGTGCACACTGTACTCGGAATCAAAATCCGAAGCGCTATCAAGCTCTCACTCACAGGTGTCCAGTAAGAGGCGGTGGGGGGGTCACCAAGTGACACGCAGCTTGACCGTGGAGTAGACCGCGAGGACGCCAACGTCGCCTAGGCAACGCCTCCCCCCCCCCTCTGGCTCTGCCTGCCTCGCTCTGTGCACGTGAGGTGCCAACCACGTGACGCGGGCCACTGCGCGCGTTGCGTCACCGCTCACCGTGGGGGGCCCCTCCGCTACGTCCACATCGTACAGTCGCACATTCATTAATAGTCACACTCTTAATCATGTTTATGGTCATCGTCATTAAAGGTGAGTTTAATAATAATACCACTACACAATGTGTGCATTAATATATACGGCATGAATAAAACGCACCTGTAAATATCCTAAGTAAGTTTGACCTGACATTATTGCACAACAATTGCCCAGCCACCGTGGGATGTTTATCCTCCAATGTGTATCTGGCTCTGACCTGACTTATATAAAAGTGCAGCTCTGCAATTGCTTGGTCACACCACCGCTGGTGAAAAGACCTTCATGAGAGCGAACTCTTTACGAGTATTTGGTCTACTTTTCCATATAACAATAGGTTTTACCCTTTCTGGCAATACAACAGGTGTCAAGATGTTAAAACACCAAACAGAATCCTTATTCAAGGAATCCTGTCTGCATTAACCACACGTACTTGTGGTGAACATGCAAACATGCTCTGATAATATATGCATTGTCTTTGAAACTGATTAGTCCACACCAGGAAGGTCCCATATTCTACTTTTCCACGTTGACCAGATGTGTTGGAAGAGCCGGCTGAAAGCCACACTTTGCTGCATCACACGTGACTTGCCGATCAGCTAACTGTGGTGTACCCATTTAGCGACCTCTGGTCTGTGAGTTCAGTTTACTAACCATTAACAGCATGGCAGCTTTCTAATTGGCTTGTGTGACAATTCACCCATGTCATTATCTCTTGCACAGCCTGAAATAAGTTTTGGCGTCAGGGAATGGAAATTATGACTCACCCACCTGCACCTGCCTTGTGCTCCCAGACACCTAAGGACCTTACTACCGCTGTGAGAAATTGACGGGCGTAGACTGCTGCATGGCGATGATGTATTCACGTCGTTCCTGCTGTTTTCCTCTTTTGCTAGGTGATGCAATTGGTGTGCCAACACCTCCAGATGCAGTTCCTGAAGGAAGTGGGCATTCGGGACATGTTCGTTTTGCCTGTGATGAATGAGTTTGTCCGAACACACAGGGAAGTCAGCCTGTTCATCGAGGTGCGTTTCCCATGTTTATTTCACTCGATTGGTCGTCTGTTTGCAAGGTCATGCTGTGCCCAGAGGTCACCCACTGAGTTTTTTTTACCGTAACATTACCGTCACTTGGGTTTGGTGATCGATTCAACAGGGCAAAAATATTTGTAAGAAGCGTAAACATGGCAACGTGATCATTGTCAGACCACGGAGGACCTTCAGAATGCCGAGTATGATCTTTAAATTGATCCTGGACTCGTTCGGGGGATATTTGAACAATTTGAATATTGGGGCGATATCGTCTTGCTACGGGTCTGAGTGAGAAGTCTCCCAGCGGTTTTTTGAGTCCATAATCGAGATTTTTGGGTTAGAGCACGTAAACATGCACTCATATACAGTGAGGGAAAAAAGTATTTGATCCCCTGCTGATTTTGTACGTTTGCCCACTGACAAAGAAATTATCAGTCTATAATTTTAATGGTAGGTTTATTTGAACAGTGAGAGACAGAATAACAACAAAATCCAGAAAAACGCACGTCAAAAATGTTATAAATTGATTTGCATTTTAATGAGGGAAAAAAGTATTTGACCCCTCTGCAAAACATGACTTAGTATTTGGTGGCAAAACCTTTGTTGGCAATCACAGAGGTCAGACGTTTCTTGTAGTTGGCCACCAGGTTTGCACACATCTCTGATGTGGGATTTTGTCCCACTCCTCTTTGCAGATCTTCTCCAAGTCATTAATGTTTTGAGGCTGACGTTTGGCAACTCGAACCTTCAGCTCCCTCCAGAGATTTTCTATGGGATTAAGGTCTGGAGACTGGCTAGGCCACTCCAGGACCTTAATGGGCTTCTTCTTGAGCCACCCCTTTGTTGCCTTGGCCGTGTGTTTTGGGTCATTGTCATGCTGGAATACCCATCCATGACCCATTTTCAATGCCCTGGCTGAGAGAAGGAGGTTCTCACCCAAGATTTGACGGTACATGGCTCTATCCATCGTCCCTTTGATGCGGTGAAGTTGTCCTGTCCCCTTAGCAGAAAAACACCCCCAAAGCATTATGTTTCCACCTCCATGTTTGACGGTGGGGATGGTGTTCTTGGGGTCATAGGCAGCATTCCTCCTCCTCCAAACACGGCGAGTTGAATCATTCAGATGTTCATTGGCAAACTTCAGACGGGCATGTATATGTGCTTTCTTGAGCAGGGGGACCTTGCGGGCGTTGCAGGATTTCAGTCCTTCACGGTGTAGTGTGTTACCAATTGTTTTCTTGGTGACTGTGGTCCCAGCTGCCTTGAGATCATTGACAAGATCCTCCCGTGTAGTTCTGGGCTGATTCCTCACCGTTCTCATGATCATTGCAACTCCACGAGGTGAGATCTTGTATGGAGCCCCAGGCCGAGGGAGATTTACAGTTCTTTTGTGTTTCTTCCATTTGTGAATAATCAAACCAACTGTTGTCACCTTCTCACCAAGCTGCTTGGCAATGGTATTGTAGCCCATTCCAGCCTTGTGTAGGTCTACAATCTTGTCCCTGACTTCCTTGGAGAGCTCTTTGGTCTTGGCCATGGTGGAAGTTTGGAATCTGATTGATTGATTGCATCTGTGGACAGGTGTCTTTTATACAGCTAACAAGTTGAGATTAGGAGCACTCCCTTTAAGAGTGTGCTCCTAATCTCAGCTCGTTACCTGTATAAAAGACACCTGGGAGCCAGAAATCTTTCTGATTGAGAGGGGGTCAAATATATAACATTTTTGACATGCGTTTTTCTGGATTTTTGTTGTTGTTATTCTGTCTCTCACTGTTCAAAAAAACCTACCATTAAAATTATAGACTGATAATTTCTTTGTCAGTGGGCAAACGTACAAAATCAGCAGGGGATCAAATACTTTTTTCCCTCAATGTATGCTAAATTCTTCTGTTGATATGTGAACTCTGACTTTAAAATAGCCACTTCCGTGACCAGTTGCATGCTAATTCGTCACATTAACATTATGCTAATCTCCCAGTTACATGCTAATTTCTGACTTTAACATCCTGCTAATCTCTCACATTAACATAGCTACTTCAATGCAAAATTCTTCTGTTGATATGTAAACTCCTTTGTCAAGGCGCTCTGCTCCTCCCACCCAGCTTAAAATACACTGCCAAGCTTAGCAGTGTTCATTGGAATGCTGTCTTTCCAACAGCTCTGTTTCTTCACCTGAGGACGGCTGCTTGTGTTGTGGCCAAAACGTCGTGATAATTTTATTTTATTATGTTTTATGATCATTTTATTATTTCCCTTTTACGTGACTTTACCGAAAAAACCAAGAAGATTAATCCCTGCAGTCACGAAAGCTTTAAATCGAAATCAACACACGTGGTACGAAACAAGTATCGTATGTTATAAGAATAATATAAACATGTAATATTCACGGCAATGGCAGTGTTGTTCAGCGTGCCCTGCTGTGGAAGCCAGCCACATGAGTTTGATAACCAGTCATGGCTAGTATCAGTGGAAAGCAAAATCTGAACTGGTTCAATGCTTCGCTGACCCAGACTGAGCAGTATGGAGTGCTAACAAGTTAACCGGATGATACATTATTATTTGGCAATGCTGCTGCTGCGTTGGCAGTGGTGCCCAAGAACAATTAACTAAAAAACTCAACACATTAGTCAGTAATGTTGTGGCCTCAATAGACACAACATTATATGCAACGTTTCGGGCCATGGTCCGTCTCCCATTTGTACAATGAAAAAGGGCCATTGCCCAAAAGTCTACATTTTTTCATTTTTATTTAATTTTAAGGTCATTGTTATTGACGAACGTGTTGAGTTACCATGATAATTAAGAACAGATTTTGGTAGAAAGGTCCTGTTACTATGATGAATGTATCCTCTAGACAAACATACAAATTCATCACAGGGTTGCCTAAAGCTTGCCAATAGAAAATAATGCCGATTAAGTTGTGGGCACCCGACATTCACTTGCCCTGCGGCCACTCCCTCAACGACACGAGTCGCATTGACTCAGGGTCCCGCGGGTAGTTCCATGACTCGGTGGTCCAGGAGAGTGGCACGAGCGATGCGGGCATCAGCTGGGCGCCACAAGGGCAGCCATGCTTCGAGTCACTCGCACAGCTCCCTGTTCAGCACGACGTGAACGCATTCCCAGCCTTCTGATCTATGTGGCTTTTCCGAATCAAGCAAATTGTCACTGATAATTTAGCACATTTGCTATGCTATTTAAAAAATATCTAGCGATTCATTTTATATAGCGTCGTTCATGATTATTGCATCTCAGAATTTCTGAGGAGCCAAAGACCAAGCTGGAATATTGCAAGGGAGGTGAGCCTGCACCAACAATTGCCCTGCATTTCTATATATGTTCAGATGTTGCCAGCCAATTAGTGAGTGTGTATATATGTGGAAGGAAACTGGAGCACACAGATAAGTCACTGCTGAGTGCATTAATCACCCTTTGTGAGATTTGACGCAGCATGTAATTAAAATATATTTCCAATTTGTCTTCGGGTGATTTTGTAGGTGTTTGTTTTAAGCAAGAGGAGAGTGGAGTTTTAATGCCATGTCCTGAATGGGCCTTCCATTACAAAGTCCTCATTCAGGATCCCAGTCCCACAACATTTCAAGCCTCCCTCTCAGTTCTACTGCTCTTTGCACTGAACATTTAAACCTACTTATTGGGCCTTCTGATATGCCCTCTTTGGTATCATGACATGCCATTTCCTATACTGGATCATTGTAATCATCGCTCCATCATGCCTCCTTGTCAGTCAGTAAACTTCTAACATTGGTGTCGTGTGTGTCTGTTGCAGGGATACTCTGGGGGGCCCTTTCTTTGCCAGGACTCAAACGGCCGCTGGTTGCTTTCTGGAATCACCAGCTGGGGTGTTGGCTGTGCACGGGCATACCAGCCAGGTGTCTAGCGCACAGTCGCCAAGTTCATGGACTGGATTCACCAGAACATGCAGTAGTCTCTTACACATTTCTGCACAAGCAGAATACTATAGATCAGGGATATAAATATTATGGGAACTATACATCAAAATAATTAATTAAGGCAATAAATATATTTTTCTAAAACTGATTTAAAGTTAATGTTAAAAGGTTAATTTAATGAGCTGAATACTATATTTTAACTGCACCATAATGCAAAAAAGATTTCCAAGTGAACACGGATTTTGGGTCAAATCAGAAAAGTATTTTTTTTACATGCGTTGTCAATAGCGTTTTTATCTTTTGGGTTTGCCACACATGTCAACGGGCCTGGCAAAGCAAACATGAGCATGATGTTGGCATTGGCAGGAGATGAAGACAGAGCTTGCTATTTTTCAATGTTGCTTAATTCTTTCAAAACTGACACAATGGACAATGAATGCACTGTCTAAATATTTGGCCCAACCTGATTATACATGCTAGCAAAGTGAGTGTTGTCCAAACTACGTATGATACATTTATATTCTTGTTATATTTTGACCTGGGTCATCAACTCGCATCTCCCATACATTAATTGCCATGGATGTTGAGCAGTAGGGGTACTCAGAGGGGGTCTATTGGCCTTCTAGGGGACCACTGCAATGATCGGGGCATCCAGAAGGGATGATGAGTTCCACAGGGAGAACGTCCTTCAGAGGTTGTCTTAGAGTGTCCATGGCAAGGTTATTGGTGATTACCTTCACCTCCCCCGGTCAACACAGTCCATGAGTTTGTGAGTTTTGCTTTACTAACGACATGAAAACAAGACTGGTTTGCACAAGGAGCCTGCAAAAAATTTAATTTAGAAAACCTCATGAAATGTGATGCATGGCACTTATCTGAGACGCCCCTTATCTGAGAAGCCCCTGTGTAAATGGCGTGATATCAAGACCATTATTATCATAGTGAACTACATGACGCGTGTAAGAAAACTATATAAACATCTATTGGAAACATTTCATGAAAATATGTACAAAAATGAACACTTTAATAGTGTTTCATGGTATTCCAAAAATCATAGCATATTTGATTGGTTAAGATGGTTTACTCGTTGGGATGATAAATGGCAATGATCCTTCATCATGTAAAAGACTGTAAGCTGCTTTCAAAAATATATATTTTTTGAAGATCGTATTCACACTCTGCAACAGTCTATTTTCCACATCAAACCATAATGTGTCTGTCGACTGCAATTGGAAATTGATGCATGCTTAGTAGCAATCGGGTAAATAAACATTGAAATGTGTCACATGTTCGTGTCTGGGTGGCTTTTTGCTTGAGATTAGGGATCTTGTGAAAAAAGTTATAAGACTTTATATGAAAACCTCCACAGAGGCCGATTTTGACACTGTTGGTACAAGTCATCAGAAAGTCCAATTAGCTCCATCCACATCCTTCTGTACCACATCATTCCATCTCTCTTCTAGCCTATGACACATCCATTTAGCCCCATCCAGCCAAACAAGCTGTATCATGGGACCTTTTTCCAGAATCAAAGTGTGAAAAATAATAAAAGGTTTTATCCTTTCTGGCAGTAAAGCAGGAAGTGGTGTTAAAATGTTCAAACAACCAATTAGAAACCTGTTGCAATGAATCAAGTTACTGCATTAACCACACACGGTACTTGTGGTGAATATGCAAACAAACATGCTCTGATAATATTTGCATTGTCTTTGAAACTGATTGGCCTACACCAGAGATCGCCAAAAGGCGAACAGTACAAAGGCAATGCCACACGTATCGGAGCATTTATAGCTAACCACTGCCCACCGCTCCCCACTCACTCGGTGTGCTAACCGCGGTGCCACCACTCCCCCCTCACACAATGTGCAAACCACTACGCCACCAATCTCCACATTCTCACACAGTGCGCTCACCGCTGCGCCACCGGTCCCCACTCACATCTAGAATATGAATTAAATGTCCACAGTCATCGTTTTCTGATTTCCGGAATAATTGTTCCCGAAATAATACGAGTTGCATTTCATTCAACATTGGGAAGGGGTCTGCCCTTCGTTTAAGGCCCTGGCTGCTTACAGAATTGTCGCAGACTGTTTTGCCTCAGCAGCTTTCCTCTTTTCTCCTCCTGATGACGATCGAAACGTCGTAGTTTTTTTGTTATTTTAAAAATTATTTTCTTTCAACTTATCTACGTGACTACCGAAAGACCCAAAGAATATGATTTCATGGATGTTTATGAGGTCTGTTGCTGAGGGTTTCAAAGAAGTGGAGGCCTCTCTCAGTACATAAGAGTGAGGGGTTGTAGGTTTCGGCTTGGGTCATGGGTACGGGTTATTTTTTGGCATATTTTATTTTAAAAAAATCGAATTCCAATGTCGTGGATATTGTGATGTTTGGATTATTGACGGTAGAATTAATATTATTGCGAATATTTCTTATATTCTCGTTTTATGCCACTGATTATTGATGTAAAAAATAGGTTCAAATTTAAACGGCATGCAAAGAAGGTTACAGTTAATTATGAAACAATTCGCAACTGTTGATTTATGTGTTGTAGTGTATGATTGTCTGCTCGACTCAATTTCTGAGGATCTCACGTTTATTTCTATGTTATTGTACATTTTACAGTAGTGCTATAAAAAATAAAATGAAAAAAAATTATGTGAGATTTTCACCACAAACTAGGCTGCAATGGTTATGATATTGTGATAATTAGATTTTCACCACAAACTAGGCTATAATGGTTATGATATTGTGATAATTTGATTTTCACCACAAACTAGGCTACAATGGTTATGATATTGTGATAATTAGATTTTCACCACAAACTAGGCTACAATGGTTATGATATTGTGATAATTTGATTTTCACCACAAACTAGGTTACAATGGTTATGATATTGTGATAATTTTATTTTCACCAGAAACTAGGCTACAATGGTTATGATATTGTGATAATTTGATTTTCACCACAAACTAGGCTATAATGGTTATGATATTGTGATAATTTTATTTTCTGCCACCAAATTACAATTAGATTCGTTGCTTCGCATATTCCCTGATATTTTGTTTAGACCGCAAGGGTGTATCCATTTAAACTATTGCTAACTAGCTTGTTTATGTCATCTAGAATATGAATACAATTTTCACCATCATCGTTTTCTTATTTCTGGGACAATTGTGCCCTAAATAATAGGAGTTGCATTACATTCAGATCCTGGCTGATGACGTAGTTGACTCCAGTCTGTGATGTCACAGTCATGTGGGTGGTACCTTTGACATCATGATGTCTATGACGTCATGCACCACGTGTCATTCATATTGGAAGAGCTGCGTTTATTGGTGGCTGTGTTTCTTGTCTCAGCTAAAATAAGCGTGATATTATTTAGCCTCGTGGTTATTAAAGCCTCCACTACTGTTGATGAAACTGAAATTAATCTCAGCAGTTGTCAGCCTGCACATCATTTAACCGGTGAGCCTGAAAGGGGTGGTTTAAGGATTGTTTGCGTGTTAATGGGGTTTATTATTGAAGCTTTCAAGGGTGTGGGGGTCTCACTCACTACATGAGCATGAGGGGTTTGGGGGTTTAGCTTAGCTCAAGGTAACGTGTTGTAACAAATACGTTTAAATATATAATTTTAGCATATGTTATCAGAAAATCAAACTGAAAGGGGTGGTTTAAGGATTGTTTGCGTGTTAATCGGGTTTATTATTGAAGCTTTCAAGGGTGTGGGGGTCTCACTCACTACATGAGCATGAGGGGTTTGGGGGTTTAGCTTAGCTTAAGGTAACGTGTTGTAACAAATACTTTTGAATATACAATTTTAGCATATGTTATCAGAAAATCAAACTGCAATGTCGTGGATATTGTGATTCTTGGATTCTTGACGGTAGAATTAATATTGATGTGGATATTTCTGACATTGTCGTTTTATGTGACTGATTATTGATGTAAAAATTAGTTTCAAATAGAAACGGCATGCAAAAGGTGAACATTAATCATTAAACAATTCCCAATTGTTAATTTGTGTTGCAGTGTATGATCATCTGCTTGACACAATTTATGATTTTCTCTTTTATTTCTATAATATTGTAAATGTTACAATAGTTTTTTTTCATAAGATGCCATTTTAAAAATATAATTTTACATTGTCACCTCAAACTAGACTCAAATATTCATAATATTGTGGTAATTGGATTGTCTGCCATCAAATTAAGACAATTAGATTCGTAACTTGGAATATCACTTCATATATTGCTGTTTCTAACATTGTTTAGACCGTAACCGTGTAACCATTCAAAACGTTGATAACGAGCCTGTTTAAGTCATCTAGATTACGAATAAAATGTACACAATCATCATTTTCTTATTACTGGGACAATTGTGCCCGAAATAATCTGAGTTACATTACATTTAACATTAGGAAGGGGTCTGCTGTTCAGGTCAGATCCTGGCTGATGACGTAGTTGTCTCCAGTCTGTGATGTCACAGTCATGTGGGTGGTACCTTTGACATCATGATATCTATGACGTCATGTACCACGTGTCATTCATATTGGAAA